AGAATGTGGTGTTGATATTCATGCAGTGTAATAGGAGTTGCCATTTTGTGATGGTTAGTTGAGGAGTGTGTTAGATGCATCCGGGGTTAGAGATCGGCTATACTTTACTCCTGCAAAAATACTAAAAGTTGGCCCGTATTATTACTGTATAGGCTGAACTTTTCCCACCTGGACCAAAATAAGATAAGTTCGATAGGGCCTCAACAATCATATTGGGCCGTAAATGGGGTGTTCGAAATGTAACAGTAAATCGCTCATTTCGGTTCAAAATGGGCCCATAGGTCGGGCCAATAATGTTAAAAGAGGCCCAGAAGTTGGCTCCAAAATTGAAACAGGCCCCGGGTTTCTGCCCATTAACGCGAAAGCCTATAAAAGACAAAGTAAGCCCACTGAATCGCCCACAAATGACAAAATAGGCCCACCGAAAAGCTCATAAACAACAAAATAGGCCCAATGAAAGACCTATAAACGACAAAATAGGCCCAATGGAATCCCGTAACCCACAAAATGGGCCCAACCAGAAAAGACAAAATGGCCCAATAAAGCACAATAAACGACAAAATAGGCCCAATGAAGGCCACATAAAGACAAAATAGGCCCAATGGGGTCCCCATAAAAGACAAAAAAAGCCCACCGAAAAGACAGTAAAGGACAAAATAGCAAAATGGAGTCACATAAACGACAAAATAGGCCCAATGCAGTTCCACAAACGACAAAATAGGCCCAATGATGGCCAATAAACGACAAATTAGGCCCAATAGAGGCCCATAAAAGACAAAATAGGCCCATGGAGTCCACAGAAACGACAAAATAGCCCACCAATAAGATAACAAACGACAAATTAGGCCCACCAGAATTACAATAAAACAGGCCCAGTAAAGGCCATAACAGACAAAAAAGGCCCAAAGAAGATCAATAAACGACAAAAAAGGCCCAGAGAAAAGACAATAAACGACAAAAAAACCCAGCGAAAAGACAATAGCGGACAAAATAGGCCCAAGGAACATAAACGACAAAATAGGCTAATTGAAGGATCCTTAAAAGACAGGATAAGCCCATCAAAAGGAAACTAAACGACAAACAGGCGCAATGAAGAAGCAAATGTACAAAATAGGCCCATAAAAGATAAAATAGCCCAACTGAAGGGTCCATAAACAACAAGCGCACACTATATTCTGAATACTGGGCTTATGTCCTGGACATTGGTCTGCACTTATAAGGTATTGGGCCTATGTCCTGGACATTGGCCTGCATTATATCTGCTCAGTTGTTGGGTCCAAACTTTAAATCTGCCATATAATTAGACTTTAAATTCTGGAAATTCGGCCGTTATTGGGACCCAAATGCACAATTAAAGGGCCTCAGTTCTCAGTCATTGGACCAAAACTACATGCACTGGGGCGCAGTAAATGTGACACAAGAGGTAATTTGAGTTTAAGGCGGTATGTACTAAATTTTGTATAAGTTAGGGGAACATGTATTATTTATTTTTCTATACACTAACAACATATTGCATTCTTGTCTTATTGGAACAAATCTTATGAGACAATTATTGCCTTTACTAAAAATCCTTCTGCAATTTTGAAATGTACTAATGATAATAAGGGTCCACACTAAAGAGCTGCACAGCTCAATACCATCATACTTACATGCATCATCAACCAAAGGGATTGGAGCGCAGGTACTAATATTTCGGAGTGATGCATTTCAGTTAAAAGACCCAAAGTAGCAAAATCTTGAGTAAAAATAGCACTTGGGTCGGTTATTGCGCTTAAAATAGGCCATCCAGAGGGGAGGTTCTTGCTTTGTCAGTGCTTGGTGGTCTGAAGACCTCCGAAAATCGAAGCTGATACCACAGTTAACCCATCGCGGGCTCTGAAACAAAAATCATACTTGATATTTGCTAAATTATTGCGAAATCATTGGCCCCAAAATTGACCAGAGAGAGCTTCAAACTGCAACAACATAACATTGACCAAAAAACATACAATTAATTAATTCACTGTTAATATGAGGAAGAATGAAATGAAAGGCGTAGAAGATCTCCAGGGTAAATTTTAATGATTTAAAAATCCCCACGAAATAATCATGGCGAGGAAGGCAAGCAAACAAACACAATATGAGAGAGAGACATGCTGCTGTCTGTATTACACATTTTAAAAGAGATTCATGAATAACAGAAATAACGTTCAATTCAAATCCTAAACCTAATATAATTACAAAGAAACTCTTCCGCTTGAAAACTGAAAACAATGTTAGAAAAGAAAACAGTCCTCATGTATTGTTTTTCAGGTTCCATCAACAAAACAGTCCATCAAAGGTTTAATTGAAACCACAGATTCTAAAGTCCAAATAAAAACATGAACAAAATTGAAATTTCTCCTATTCAAATATCATGGAATTAGGTTGGTTCAAATTAGTCAAAAACTTAAGATCCAAATAATAAAAAGTCAACATCATGCCTCCATTGTAAAATTGGGGCTTTAACATTTTCTTTTTGTCCAAACAAACATGAAAAGAAATCTTGCATTAACTGAAGAGAGAGAGAGAGAGAGAGAGCGACTATCTTTCTTCCATTATTTCACACAAGTATAAATAAAGAAAGCAACATGGAATAAAAATAATAATACAGATTAAGAGAAAAATCGAGTATCCACTGCCTCATCCGCCATAAACCTCGAACTCAATTAGGGTTTGAGGTCAATAATTTTCAAATCAGATTCTAAGGAATAAGATGAAATGTTTACCTTCTCCGGCGCAGCATGGCTCCGTAAGCTTTAGTTGAGTTAAACATTTGCAAATCGGTCTGTGATTAAGCCTAATATTTTCAATAAGGGCCAAGAAGTCGTTCTAGGATCCTTTCTTCTAGGGTCGAGGCGGTTATCGGGCCGAAGGTTGTCAAACTGCGCTGGCTGGGGTTTGACAAAAATTTCAGGAAGGCCATTAACGTTGCAAGGTCTTGCAGTCTGGTCTGGGTTATTTTCACACATTCACAAAAGCTCACGAGATTTCACAGAAGCACTCGTTGCCACTTTCACTACAGCTTGACCAGAGCTTCAAACTGCAACAACATTGAGCAAAAAAACATACACTTAATTCACTGTTAATAGGAGGAAGAATGAAATGAAAGGGGTAGAAGATCTCCACAGTAAATTTTATTGATTGCAGAAGCTTACCAATTAATTTAGGCCGGAGACTACTCATTGGTCTGCAGGTAGATTTATCCACCAGCAGCAGCAAATGATTAGAAAATCCGCAAGAACGTATGAGTGACATGCTGCTGTCTGTATCACACATTTTTAAAAAGAGTCAAACGAATAACAGAAATAACGTTCAATTCAAACCCTAAACCTAATATAATTACAAAGAAACTCTTCCATTCGAAAACAGAAAACAACGTTAGAAAACAAAACTCTAGTAGTACCTCTTCTTCTTCTAACCAAAATTTCCCACGTATTGTTTTTCATGTTCCATAAACAAAATTGCCCATCAAAAGTTCAATTGAAACCACAGATTGCAAAGTCCAAGTCAATACATGGACGAAATTGAAAATTTTCCTATTCAAATATCATGGAATTAGCCAGGTTTATATTAGTAAAAAATTTAAGATCCATTTTATAAAATTGGGGCTTTAACGTTTTCTTTCTGTCCAAACTGACATGAAAAGAAATCATGCGACGAACTGAACGGAGAGAGAGACTATCTTTCTTCCATTATTTCACGCAAAAATAAATAAAGAAATCAACAAGGAATAGAAATAATAATACACATTAAGAGAAAAATCAAGTATCCATTGCCTCATCCGCCATAAAACCTCGAACTCAATTAGGGTTTCAGATAAATCATTTTCGAGTCAGAATCTAAAGAATAAGATGGAACGTTTACCTTCTCCGGCGCCGCATGGCTCTGTTGTTGAGTGTCGTCAACTTCATCGTCGAAGCAGGCACGCGACGCATCCTCTCTCTGCGCCTTTCTCTCTCCCTCGAACCTCACTTTGCTTCTGTGAAGTTAGATCTGATATGAAAGGGCTCTCTCTCTAAATATCCTTGTAGAGAAGGCCCGTTGTCTTATTTGGGTTTGCTGGCTTGTCCCTATTTTATGTGCACTTTTGGGCTTTGTTGAATGAGTTTCACCGACCCAAAATAAATAAATAAACAGAACATTCTCGAACATTCTAAAGATAACGATCGTTGTTTTGGTCCAAAGAAATTCCCAACCAAGTTTAATTCTATCTTATTATGTTTATTTACAGCTAAACATGCTGACCCACCACAAGCTAGAAGCGTTAAATTTATTGGACTACATTACCCAACACATATGTTATAAGAGCATTCACAGTGGGTGATGTATTTTCAAAGGTGTAAAGCTACTTTTACATCCCCTTTACACCTCCGGGAGTTGTAAATGTGATTTTTGCTCTAATAGGAAAATGTAAATCTAAATATTTATAATTGATTTTGCTTACTTTTGTCCACATTTTCTCATATAGGTCCCACCTGCAAGGGATGTAAAAAAAGATGTACATGTGCATCTAAATTTGCATCTTACGGTTGTGAGGCAAATTTACAATCGTTTACATCTCCCCATTATAGATAATTCCGATCACAAAAGGTGTATAGTTAACATGCACCTCATTATACAATCCCCCGCTGGAAATGCTCTAAAAGGGGGACTATAATATCCAATATATATGTTATAAAAAGGAAGGAGGAAAATCAAAACTGGGACCTCCAATGTAATGATAAATGATCTTAACTACTTGAGGTACAAGCCTCTTGCATAATACTCATTAATTTGAACAATGTGCAATGTAAGATTTCTTTTAAAACGAGCTCCAAATTTCAATTTCTCAATATGCAACAGCTGATTGTATAATGGAAAGTCATTATTGAGGAAACCAACAAATTTTCTTTTCCTAAATTTTTAAATGTCTTGTAATAACAGAATTGAGTCTTCAATCAGTTATGGTGGAATTTTCACCATTAAGGGAATCACGAAAATCAATACATGGGAAATTTCGCCTTTGTTTTCTCAAATACTTGTTCAGCAATAACAGCACCGTTACCATCAGCTTTCTTGATCTCCAAGTGAGCTTTTTGATAATATGCAGTGCCCCTTAGTGCATCCGCAATGAAATCATCAAACCCAATTGCTATCGCTGCTTCAGCTTTAGCTCCATACACCAACCTCTGTTCAGAAAGAGCACGACAAATTATGGAAACCTAATAGCAATGTGATCCACTCATTACTACGCGGAAGCTAAAAGGTTTGAAAATTGGACCTTTAGTCTTGAAAGATGAATAGCACCAAAGCACATTGGGCATGGCTCACAAGATGCATATATTTCGCAGTCTGCGAGCTCTATCTGATTGAGCTTCTTACAGGCCTGTGGAAATTTTTTATCCCGAGCATGAAATCCGAAAAGCGTTTGGAGGCACAAGATATAAAGCATGACAGAAATTTAATATCAAATAAAGAACAGGGGGGGGGGAGGATAACTAAAACTAGTAGAAACTGAAAACAATGGGATATGATTTTGGAAACATCTTTGCTAAGATCTATATACATACTCATCATGCTTTCAACTCTACAATGACCATACGGAACATAAAAACCTTTTGTGTGTGTGTGTGTGTGTATCCTCAGTTCTTCTGTTACAGTAACATTGTCCCTCTCGACATCAAGTGCTCCCAAGTGATAACATTAAGCATCAGAAAAAAAGAGTACCAATAAGATGGTATTTACAAGAAACTTTCAAGCTCACTTTATTATAAAGACTAAACAAAAATGACATTTAAGTCTTCCCTAAACCAATATGCATGAGTGTGTCTATGTGTACACACGCTAGGAAGGATCTAACCATTTTGGCATTATTACCACCATGTTTTCAGTAAGCAAAACCACCCTCATGAGGCAATGTAGTAATTTAATAGTCGAACCTCTCTTATGGCAGTAACCTCTGCATGGGCAGTCGGATCAGTGTTTTTCAAAACCATGTTGTGACAGCTGACAACTATTTCATCATTACGAACAACAACTGCGCCAAATGGCCCTCCATCTCCACATTCAACTCCCTTATAAGCTTCTCCAACTGCTTCTGTTAAGAATTTGTGGTCTCTATCCTGTACAACTGGTTGAAAAATAAAACAAAAAGCAAAGCATGATAATTATGAAGACCATATCTGGTGCAAAGTACACCTTTTCTGACAAGGCGAATAAGTAAATATAATATATTACTTCATTTGCCAGATTTCACAAATTGAATATCAACAAAATAATTAAAACAGGGACATAAAAACTCACAGCACCAAAAACTGCCATGCTCATCTCGAGTGCACCTTTTGTGGGTTTATATAGACCATTTATTTAAGTTCTTCGCCCAACTGCCTAAAGTGTATTATTGACTATTTATATAGTAATCTTCACTGCACATTGGGGAAGGGAAATGGTAACGAGACAAAAGAAGAGTTTGGTGTTACCTTGTTGATGAGCAGCAAATGCAGAAGCCACAGAAATGGTTCCATCGTTCGCTTCCACCACTATCAATGGAGGAGGGGTAACTATTATTAAGCAAAGCATCCAAAGTTCCCATATGCATATAACAAATACCAACATTTCAAACCACACTTTGAAATTTCCTATTAATATACAATAGAAGTGCAATGACTTAAATTATATGCACTCGCAATAACAATGTAAAGGAAATAACATTTTATCCAATCAAGGCTCCAACCAAGTTTATGCTTCCAATTTATACACACTTATCCTAGAATTTCGCTGAAAAGGAAAAAAATAATAATATATATATATGGGTGAACACGAGAAAGAAAATTTAATAAATCAAACAAATTAGGATTGAATGCACACAAATTCTAAATGAAAGCATAAGATCATCTTGTAAAAGTACAACTGAAGAGAGATTCACAGGTCTTCAAAGGAAAAGGAGAACCGTAATTCATGGTTGCTCCAATTCACATTGCAGTCAAGGGCACAAAACGATTCCTACTTCGGGACTAAATGTCTTGCCACCACTACTGGATAAGATAAAAGACATGTATCTACAAGATTTTGAGAAGAAAATGCAAATTTTTGACATTTTTAATCAATTTGCTTTGAAGCAGCTACATGATAGATTAAGTTGTGTGTAAGGGATGGTTGGTGGAGCATTAGAATGCTACAAATTGGAATATGGGATCTCAAATCTAGGGATTTAAATCAATGTTAGTAGTTAAATAGCTTGAATTCAGTGTTTGCAACACATCCAAGTTACTTTTCTACTTTCTTGAGCTAAAATCAAGGCAAGTCCTAGTCAAAAACACTTACAAGTTGCAAGGGGCACCAGAATATAAAATATTATAATTTTCATGGAAATGGTGATACAAACAAATCTGGACTTACCCAGAAACAAATATGAGAATCAGAACAGGAAACGCACCTAGCCTTAGAAATAAAAATTCAGTCAAAAGTCACAGACAGTAAATGAGCAAAACCATGGCACAAGCGCATACTCAATTCACACACGCACACCCAAAAAAAAAAAAAAAAAAAAAAAAAAAAAAAAAAAAAAAATGGGTAAATAAATATAAATGATCTGATAATAATAGCCAAGAAAGTAAACGAACAGAAAAGAAGAGCAAAAGAGTATAAAAATAGAAATGGGGTCAAAGACACAAACCATTAGCATCCGCCATGACGGGAATTGGAGATGTATGAAAGAAGAAAGAAAGATCAAAAGAATGAGGAACTGAATTGGGATAGTCAAGAAATGGGGTGTGAGGAGGATAAAATATAGAGAACAGGGAAACGTGAAAGGAAGAAAGAAAGCGCGATGAGAATTGAGATGACCTGGTCCACCAGTTAATTAATGTTATTATTTTTATATGTATTTATTTTTACATATATAGTTGTTTAATTTTTTGGACAAAAATAATAATAGCTGTTGGTAAAGAGCGAGAAGGAAAGAGACTGGAGATAACGGAAAATGAGTATGAACAAAAATAGAGAAACAAAGACACGACATGTCGAGGTGTGAATGCGAGTGCATAAAGGGAATCTTGTTAGTCTACTTTCGTTGACTTTCTATTGGGCTTTGGGCCAACTTTTGGGCCTAGTTTGGTTCCCTTTCGGCCCTTTGGGTTTTCGAATGAATTGCTTCTGAAGACCAATAGTAAATTCAAATTGGGTGGGTTTCTAATTGATATGATTGGTTTGGTGCTGGGCATGAGGTATTTAAGATTTGGACGCTACTTGAATTAGGAAAGTTTTCCAAAACTGACGAGGAAAACTGCTACTTGAATTAGGAAGATTTTCTACTCCACTCACTCTCCTATAAATATATTAAACGGTGGCTTAAACAACACTGTCAATTTCTCTATTTGCTCTTTCTCTCTGTCTCTCCATCTCTTCTCTGAGTCTTTCGTTTTTCCTTTCTCATAGAATTATCATTACAATGAGGAAAGGAGGAGCAAAGAGGAAGGTTAGACAGATGGAAATAGAGGCCAGCCAGAAGCCGGCAGACACTCAGCCATTGCGAAAGCGGGTCAAGGCAGTCGAGCCCGAGCCCAGCCCCAAACCTGAGTCCCCGGAGGAGCCCCGAAAACTGGAAGAGCTATGGAAGGCTGCGTTTCCTGTTGGGACAGGTTGGGACAAAATGGAGGCTGTGCACAACAAATTCAAGTGGGATTTCACCAATCTGCAACAAGCATTGGAAGAGGGAGGAAAGCTCCATCAAGAGATCATCGGCAAGGATAGCAACAAAGTGTATCTATTCGGCACAATCGAATGCCATATCCATAGAAGCTCTGAAGAAGAAATTACAGTCCCTGTGGTGGTGGCCATTGTATCGCCTTCCCGGCCTGCCTATGAACTGAGCATCAAACCATTTGATAGCCAAGGAAATGGTGAAGAAACCAGAGTTCCAATGAAACAGTTGCACATGGATTGGGTTCCATATATTCCTCCGGACAAGAAGAGAGACGCCCAAGAAGCTGAGAGAGTGATGAAATCTGCTCAAGTATTTGTGTTGGGCAGCACTCAGAGTAGGGCTGCTTTGAAACCCTTGAAGGAAGAAGGTTCCATGAAACTTCAACACTACATGCCTTACTTGAATCACAAGGAAGAAGATCATTGGTGCTGGGTAGAGCGCGAGATAGATGGAGTTGCCAAGACCATCATAGATGAGTTAAAAGACGATAACGAATTATCTCCAGTTGTGAAGGCTGGCTTGAAGGAATATGTCCTGGACAAACTATATGAAGCAAAGGGAAAGCATCAACGGGAATTTAGACAAGCCATGAGAAAAACTACTAGTGTTCAAGCAGCTCCAGAGGCAGAGGAGGGTTTTGAAAATATGAGGATTTATAAGTTCTACCCCATGCAATCTCCAGAAACTCCTGACATATCAAAGGCTAAATATAAATTCATCAATAAGTATTGCGGGAAGGCTCGTGAGGTCCTGTGAACAAGTTGAAAAATTCAAAGCCTGATTCGACTTGGTTGCTCAAACTATCTGTTGAATTAGATTAGTAATTCAATGCGTAAAGTCTAAAAACTAGTGAATTAGAATTTTTAATCAAAGAGCTTTTTACATACCCGATTAAATAGATGTTTATTAATAAGATTAAGAAGCATCTGCATTTTGGCAATCATCCCGTGGAAACATCACATTCAATTGCTACGCTAGTATTGGCAAGAATCACAACTAAATGATGGAAGTCAATAAATAATCTGAAATCTGTTGCTACTCAATATTCTAAATTTGTCCATTTCAGAATACTGAAATTTTGCAAGAACAAAAAGAAGAAAAAAAACCTAAACAGCCGCTGGCTCTCTAAAACCCACAATGACACTAAATGAAGCTTCATTTCAAACGCACCTAAAGGCAAAACATATTTAAGGAAAGCCCATTGCTGCTATGGGCTGTAAAAAACAGCACCAAAACTACTGAGACTCATTTCTTCTTTCCAGCCTTGGCAGCATCTGAAGCCTTGGTCTGCGCAAAAAGAACCAAATAATTGTAACCGAGGTACTGAAATCAAACTATAATCACGCAAGCAAATAATATAAGCAACTCTCTCACCTTCTTTACTCCTCTGATCTTTTTGGCTCTGTTCTTCCTTTCCTTCAACTGCTTTCTCGACTTCTCTATCTTAGTATCAAGTCCATTCTGCCGTATAAAAAACATTCAGTGGTATGAATACACTAACAAACTATGAAAACGATCAAGAAGAGATGGAAATAAAAGGGTCGGAGATTATTACTAATAATAAGACACATAAATCTAATCTTGCTCGCCAAGCTTAGTTTAGCAAAACAATAGATATAAGTATTAACTCATGCTCAACTACTACCACATGCCAAAAAAATGCAAAAAACAACTAATAAACACAAAGGACCACCAACTAACAATCTGTGATCGGCTTTATAAAATTATAATACATGTAAATCCTTAAAATCCAATTAAACGAGATTATCTGACTGCAACTAACCAATCATCAAGCAATGTTCTGAGAAAGACTATTTATTTAGGGAAAATAAATAAACAAAAACTGATAATACTTTAAATTGGATGAACAACAGAAACTAAAACAAAAAGGCATATCATAGTATGAACAATCAACATCTCTACAGTTCTTACCAACTTGGCTTAAGTTAATTCAACCTAGGAGTTACTCAGGTGATAATCACAATCACTTCAGCAGGGCTAGCTACAGTTCTAGCAGTGGCAATGTCCTAGTGTTGAGCTAAAACATGAAAAGACCAAAAAGGAAAACCTTAGATGAACTTATTATACAACTCTGGACTTACCCTGATCAACCTGTACTTGGGCTCGTACTTCTTTGCATTTTCGACAGAATCATAAATCAATCCAAATCCAGTAGATTTACCACCACCAAAGTGAGTCCGGAACTTGAAAACAAAGATTGAATTCGGGTCCTTAACCTCATAGAGTCTAGCTAGCTTCTCCTTCAGCTCAGCCTTCACAAAACCGAAAAACCAATACATTTAATTACTGAGCAAGTGCATAATTCACATTATTGCTATTTTTTATGAGACAAAAATTCAAATGACAAATATATTGTCGATAAAGTTCAAACAATATTGAAGGCAATTATGTAAAAGCTTAAATTTGAAAAGAAAAACAACAATACCTTGGAAACATTTGGCCTGCCTGGATGAAGAACATCAATGACCTACGGGAACAAAAGCAACAGAGGCATTACAATTAAACCCGTAAGAAGATTAACGAGGGAAAGTTGACAACACCAACATCCCATAAATCATTTTCAACGCACTTTTCGACTAAACCCTCTCAAATCCAAAATAAAAAGAAGTTCAGAAAACCAAGAGATCTGACAAAAAATAATACTAGAGTAGAGCAATGGCGCATAAAAATAAACATGAAATCCAAAACCGCATTGAAACACCAAAGACTTAAACTATTTAGTTTTAGGTTGTATACCAAAGAAAGAAAATAAGAAAGTAGGGAGGTACTCACGAATTGCTTGCGAGAGAGAAGCCTGTTGGTCATGAACTTCCTGGTACGGATGGTGACTGCCTTGTCCGCCATGGTTGGTTTTGATAGGCTTAGCCTAGGAATGGAAGATACCTAACCA